ATGATGGAGGATGGTGTACAATGCCCCTATCTCTCAAAAGAGAAATGAAAGAACCAGAGAGTGTGGCACTCCTTTCAGGACCTCACTTGAATTTGATGAGGAAGCAGGAATGAGAAGATAGCCAGGATGCAACTTTTGAGCCTACTACCGGTATGTATCTATTTGTCATGCCACTTATCTATGATCAAAGGGTACATTGTTAAATGCTTTGCTGAAATCAAGAAAATGTCAGGGTTCCAAGGAACACCCCCAACAAAATAAAGCTCTGAAGCCTGAGGTGCCTCAAAGTTCTATTCTTCTGCCCCAGCTCCGGATTTCCGAGGATATTGACACACACCAACGGTCCTTATCAAATTTATTAAGTAGCAAGAATAAACAAGACTGGCAAAGGTTGGCAACCAGCCCAGAAAACAAGATATGATAAACCAAAATACTCTGATAATAAATACGAGTTGTTTCCAGCAAGAACGCACTACCTGTGTGCGACTTAAATAGGCTAAAGGAGTGGCCAATTATCCTCAAGCCCTACTCTCGAGTAGACCTCCTCCTCCTAGGTAGCCACTCCTGCCTTTTGGCAGCCCTGCGTGCTCGAGCATTGAGGAGGGGCTCCTCCGCTTCGCTCTCTCTCCACTTAAAGGAGCCTCTGGAGGTTCTGAAGGCCCTGTCTGAGTCTCTGTCTCTGGCACCACATCCTCTTCAGCCTCCTCGCTGTCCAATGTGAGCGCCAGCTGTGCTGGCTGCCGGCGCAACCCCACACCAGCCTCATCGTCGTCGAGATCAGCCACGATCCACACAGGCCGCTGGCGGGCCACAACATCTATTTTATTAGAGATGTCATGTTGGCACATCTGGGAAAATCCCAATCTGAAAGCTTCCAGGTTTTCTCCACCCAGCTAACAGTTCACAGCCCTGCCCCACACCCACAAGTTCATCACATTGTCCAATCAACTCTTCACACTCCACTGGATACAATCTTCTGGCAGTCTCCATCAGATGCAGGCAAAAGTCCTTGAAGACGGAATGTTGTTATGACTAACTTTTTACCGCTCCAACAACAACCCTCTCCCAACTTCTCCAGCTAAAATATGTTAAGAAACAAAAAAGAAAATTGTCTTCCAAAACTGACAGAAATATTATGTCTAAAGCATTCCTACATTTTACTAAGGAAGTTATCAGATCAAAACATAAGATAAGCACACATTTTTCTACGCCGATTTCTGATGATTGGCATTGTTTTTCATTTGCTTATAAAGCTTTATGATTCACTGTACAATCTTCCTAGGTATCCAACTCAAACTGGGGGATTTATGGACATCCCTGCTTATACATTCTTAAGCAGGGATGTCCAAGCATCAGTGTCCGTTGGGGGATAAGGAGGGCAAATGACAACTTGAGCATCTTGAGGTCACCCATCATGCAGGGGACAAGAAGGATCAGGGAACTAGAAAATAAACTCTGGGAAGAGAGATCTCTTTTAAACATGAGAGGAGAAGATCATGGAAGGATATAACAGAACCCTTAAAAGCCATGAGGAGTGATAGTACGGCTCTATACGGCTCTACCCTTGGATTTCTGCATCCAGTTCTGATCATCGTGATACAGAAAAGATGCTGATGCCCTAGAAAGAGTGCAGAGAAGAGCAACAAAGATGATAAGGGGCCTGGAAGCTAAATCATATGATGAATAGATAAGGCAGAGGTCTTCAAACTTCAAAAGGCTATGCTGGCTGGAGAATTCTGGGAGTTGAAGTCCACAAGTCTTAAAGCTGCCAAGTTTGAAGACCTCTGAGCTAAGGGAACTGGGCACATCTAGTCTAAGAGGGGAGACCTGATAAAGGTCTTCCAATACTTGAAGGGCTGTCACAGGGAAGCGGGAGTTGACTTATTCTCCAATGCACCTAAGGGCAGAACAAGAAGCAATGGGTGGGAAGTTCATCAGAGAGACATCCAATCTGCAAAGAAGGAAGAATTTCCTGGACAATAAGAACAATTAATCAATGGAACAGCCTGTCTCCTGGAATTGCGGGTGCTCCATTGCTAGAGACTTTCAAGAAAGGATTGGACAACCATTTGTTTGGGATGGTATAAGGCAGGGGTCCTCAAACTTTTTAAACAGGGGGCCAATTCACGGTCCCTCAGACTGTTGGGGGGCCGGACCGGCTGGGTGGTTGTGACTTGGATGTGACTGGGTGGGCATGGCCAATTTAGCAGTCCATTAAACAATACACATAAATTAAACTTTAATTTGTTATGCTCCTGGTGGTGGAAAGGTGGTTAGTGAAGGGATGTGGCTATCTTGGGGTGTGTGTGAGGGACTTCTGTTTCTCCCTCTTTCTCTCTCTCTCTGTGTCTGTCTGTCTGTCTGTCTGTCTGTCTGTCTGTCTGTCTCTCTCTCTCTCTCTCTCTTGGCTGGGGAGGCCAAAAATGGGCCAGTTTTTGGCATCACAAGGCTTCCGCGTATCCCATTTTTGGCCTCCTCAGCCTCCAGAAGGCAGGTGGGAGCCAGCGGGTAGGTGGGGTGATGTGGGTAGGCAGTGGTGGGATTCAAATAATTTAACAACCGGTTCTCTGCCCTAATAATTTCTTCCAACAACCAGTTCACCAAACTGCTCAGAAAGTTAACAACTGATTCTCCCAAAGTGGTGCAAACTGGCTGAATCCCACCACTGTGGGTAGGGCAACCTCATGGTCCCATGCGGGTCAAATTAATGGCTTCAGTGGGCCATATCTGGCCCACGGGCCATAGTTTGAGGACCCCTGGTATAAGGTCTCCTGCCTTAGGCAGAGGATTGGACTAGAAGTCCTTCAAAGTCCTTTGATTCTATGAAACTCTGGCAAAAATAATCATCGAGGTTATTCTATGTCAGAATGCAGGACATGGAGTAATTATGTCGTGAACGTTTTGATTCAGCAATAGGCAAAAAACTTTCTAATAGTAAAAACAATTTGGAACTCAGCACCAAGGGAAGTATTGAACTCTTTCACAAAATGTATTTAAGCTAAGGCTGGGCAGCCATCTGTCGGAAAACCTTTAATTTGGATTTCTGTGTGGAGCAGTAGGTTTTGCTGGATGGCATAAATGACCCCCTTTGACTCCGTGAATATGTGAATGACTGGCTAATGTCCCTTAATGGTCAGTGAACATCTGTTCTGGAATTGCATTGCACTAGTAATTGGTCATTTTCCCCTCCCACTGCCAAAAAAACCCAAGTTATTTTAAAGCTTAGGTTTGCTTTCCATGCTTTCCAGGGATGGGTTCTAATTTTTTTTACTACTGGTTCTGTGGGCGTGGCTTATTCTGTGGGCGTGGCTTGATGGTCATGTGACAATTATTTAGGATTTAGCAGAGGTACTGGTCTACCAGGCTTTTAAGTGCTTGCAGAGATGTACCGGTCTACTCATTTGTTTTTGGAGGCACCGGTCTACCACCACACTGCCTTTTAACACTGATCAGCTGTAGGGTGGCCCTTTGAAGCCCCGTGGCAAGAGTTTAAAAAGTTTTTTTTCCTTCTAGTCGATCAGCTGGGACTCGGGAGGCAGTGAATAGGTTGGGGGCAAGGCCAAATAAAAGGTAAGAATAACGCGGGGTGGGGGGGGCGGGAGGGCCCAGCTCCTGAACAAAGAGAACCGGTTCGGTGACGTCAGGGGGAACTGGGCCGAACCAGGAGGAACCCACCACTGATGCTTTCTCTATAGCAAAGGTCTCCAACCTTGGCAACTTTAAGACTTGTGGACTTGAAGTCCACAAGTCTTAAAGTTGCCAAGGTTGGAGACCCCTGCTCTATAGAGTTGCAATTCTTCTTTTGGTCCTGTGTCTTGCTTTAAGCTCCACCTTGAAGCATACTCATTAAGCAGGAGAAGACTTTCTTGAAGGACTACAAGCAATGACAGGACCTTGGAACAGCTGCTAAGAAGATGGGCTGAAAGACAGTGGCCATTAACCGGTATCTTGCTTTTTGGAGAGGAGGAGCACTAACATTTTATGCTGCAAGCCCTACCATGGGTAAAATGGAAATCCAAGAATATCCTTTTCATTACCAAGCCATCTTCTGCAGGCCCAGTGGTCCAAAAATAATATTTGGAGCAGCCCAAAGTTGTTCACTCTTACAGTAGACTTGCCAGGAAGAAAAAAATTGTCAACATTAAAGGTTTCTGACTCAGAAACCTTTTCTGTCTTCATTCCAAGCACATGAAGATTAGCTATGGTTATTCAATAATGAAGGAAAAGCACTATATATATATATGTCCCAAGATGCTTGACTCTCCCCTATCTTCATTATTATTGTTTACTCTTATAGTCTCATTTCTGGCATTGTAATCCACATCTGCCCCCAAATTCTGTAGGCCATGACAATTCAATTAACAGCTATTCAAAATATTCTGAAGGCCACAGTCACAAAACCAGGATTGCTTCTACCTACCATTTGTCTGAATTAGCCTCAGATGGTGTAGAGTCTCCTGACTGAACAGGGGGTTTGACTAGAAGACCTCCAAGATCCCTTCCAACTTTGTTATTCTGTTATCTATCAGTTTCCTCACCTATCTTCTTGTCTTGTCCCATCAAGAATTTCCACTAAGTGAGTCTTCAGGATCACAGCTTCTCTACTCTCTACAACAGTGTTTCTAAACTTTAAAATGGGTGGACTTCAGCTCCCAGAATTCCTCAGCCAGCTTGCTGACTGGGGAATTCTGAGAGTTGAAGTCCACTCATCTTCAAATTGCCAAGATTGAGAAACACTGCTTTAAGGTCCCAATTTTCAGAATTCCTAGCTAGCATGGACAACGACCATGCTAACTGAGAATGCTGGAGCTTGATAGGTTATAAGTTGAGTATAGTTTATAAGGGAAGGACCACTGGGAGTTAAAAAGCCAAACATTGCTTATTGAAATTAAAGTTCAGTTGAATGCCTGTTCAAGCTAACATTCAAGGGACAGATCACTTCCCTTCATTGAAAGTACGTTGGAATCTCAGAGTGACAGGAACATCAGCCTCTTACTTACATTTGCATATGATGACCCCTTCTCACATGGAGGACACTGTAAAAAAGAAAAGAAAAGCAGCAGTCATGAAACAGGAAATGAACCAGATGGAGTTACTGCAACGTTCAAAGCTTATATAGGTAATCCTCAACTTACAATCATTTGTTTAATGACTATTCAGTTACAACAGAACTGAAGAAAGAGACTTATGACCATTTTTTTCACTTGCAGCATCTCCATGGTCACATAATCAAAATTTGCACGCATAGCAACTGGCTGATATTTATGATGGTTGCTGTGTCTCAGGGTCATATGAACACTTTTTGTGATCTTCTGACAAGCAAAGTGGAATGGGAAAACCAGATTCACTTTGTTGTTGATGGTTGTGAAGTCGTGTCCAACCCATCACGATCCCATGGATAACGTTCCTCCAGGCCTTCCTGTCCTCTACCATCCTCTGGAGTCCATTTAAACTCACACTGACTGCTTCAGTGATTCCATCCAGCCACCTCATTCTCTGTCGTCCCCTTCTTCTTCTTTTGCCCTCAATCTTTCCCTCAATTGCCCTCAATTGTAAATATTCACTTTACAACTGTTTTACTAAGGTAAAAAGTGCAGTATGTTGTGACCTAGGCTTCCTGAGTCAATAAAACACACGAGTAGTCCCAACAACCTCTTTTATTGCAACAGCTGTGAATTACTTTCTTTCACAGCGGAGTCCCAATTAGTTGCAAAAAGTCCTTCAGGAGAAGGCTTTTGGGATAATCACCCACCTTTATCTCCCTTGACATGCTGCCAAAGACCTACTTTGCAAAGCCACATGGAGTCCAGAATCAAACAGAAATGCTGACTGGGAACAGAATTAACAACGTTGCTTTCCTGCAAAGGGCCCATGTGCCTTTGCTCCTCTTTTAAGCCTTATGGGAGGGGCCAATCATCTCCAGGCTTTACTCCCCAGTCATCCCTTTTGTTTTAACTGTTCTTGCCTTCTAGCAGCTCTGCTCATGTGCGCACTAGGAATAGGCTACTCCTGTTCCTCTGCCTCTCTGCTGTCCGACTCTGGAGGCTCCGGAGTCCGCGTATAACTCCCAGATGGCCCTGGCCCCATCTCTGCCTCGGACGCAGAGCCCTCATCTGAGCCTTCCCCAGACTCCAGGACTTCCCAGCTTCCCATGTTGCTTCCCAGCCTCCTCACTGTCCGACTCCGCTGCCAGCTCTGCAGGCTGCTGGCAGACCACAACAGTGTGATTCAGTTAACCACTATGGCAAGAAAGGTTGTAAAATGGGACAAAACTCACTTAACAGGTATCTTACTTGCAACAAAAATTTTGGGGTCAATTGTGATTGTCAGTCAAGGACGACCTGTATTGACTCCGAAGAAAAATTAAGCGGGCTACTTGGCCTGCATATCCTCAAGATTTTGAGTGATCTTTGGTGGTTACTGAAAACTTTTGCCTACTTGAGGATACATCTATGGAGTTTCTCAGTCATCCAGGTCATGGTTGACCCATAGGTTCTTTTTCAAATGGCAACTGGACTTTGTTTTTCCTTGAAGTTGTTTCACTTCTCATCTAAGAAGATTCTTTAGTTCTGACTGAATGATGGAAGATGGAAGGATTTATATTCCTTGCTAATCTGGTTATTAGCACTCTTTATGAGAGTTGCTGAGGCCACTTGGAGGTTTATCTGTGTCCTTGGGATCACCTTAATAGTGCAAATGGGTGTGGAACCTTCTTGGAACTGCTGAAAGGACTGTGTTGTAGACAGGAGATAGGGGGTGTCGTATCCCTCCCCCTCTGTTGAGAGAGAGATGTTCACTCTTAACGTAGATGGCCTCTTTGACCCCTCTTTCAAACCAATCCTTCCATCTTCCATCATTCAGTCAGAACTGAAGAAACTTCTTGAAGAAGCAAAACATCTTCAAGGAAAAGCAAAGTCCCTTTGCCTTTTGAAAAAGCATCTTTGAGACATACTTGAGGCTATGCAGGCCAGCAGCACTGCTCAGTTTTTTTTCTTTTTTAAAAAATAAATCTCTGCATTTAAAGCCTTAGATTGTTTGGGGCAATGTCCCAATTTATTGAGCCTCTTATTCCATTCCTTCATTTTAGAGCAAATTGTCTTTTATATAAGTCCTAAAAAGCTACTGTGATGGGAACCCGCCTCCACCCCCTCCTCCCTTCTCCTCCTCCCCCCTCCTCCCCCTCCCCCTCCTCCTCATGCAGATTTATTTTGCCTTTTAGAAGACCTTCAGTCATTGTCAACTCGCCTAAGTCATCTTGCCTAAGGAGCTGTTTCCCCTGGTAAAATACTGTGCCCCCTCCCCATTTTTTTTTAAAAAAAGATGTCTATTGCATAATCCATTCCTAGAGGGATACAAATGTACAGGAATTATTAACTGGCCATCCACCTATGAACCACAAGGGCATTCTTATAATGGGTGCTAAAATAAGAATAAAAATAAAATCCAAGCAATCAGCCCTTGGGCTGTTTGAGCACTTTTCGAGATGGTCCAGTGAATGAAGCCCCTGGGTCAAAATAATAATAAAAAATAAAACACATTACTTTATGAAATGTTCCATTTTTGAATCCCATTTCTCTCCCCCCACCTTCCTAGATATAAAATGAAATGCAGGCAACTTAGCCTGTTCCTAAGTTCCTGAAGGCTCTTGCCTTGGGAGTGGTACCCGATTCAGTGGGATTCAGTAGGATGGCTCTGTGAAAGATGTTGTGACAATAACTCGGTTGTCTGTAAGGAAACAGCTCTGTTCCCTGGCCAAATTCTGATTGCAGCTAAAGGCACATATGAGAAGCGAGGCGGTGTGGTTTAGCCACAGTTTCCACCCAACAAACCAGTCAAGTGGAAGATTTCCCCCAAGGGAGGGGAAGCTGCCTAGAAGCCAAAACCAGAACTTCAGAGGGAAAAGTTTACTGCCCTAAGAAGAATTTTAAGACTTGTGGACTTCTGCATGACTGTCTGAGTATTTCTGAGAGTTCTTTATTCATTCATTCATTCATTCATTCATTCATTCATTCATTCATTCATTCATTTATTGGTTCGATTTATATGCCACCCTTCTCCGGAGACTCAGGGCGGCTTACAATGCGTTAAGCAATAGCCTTCATACTTTTGTATATACCTGCTTAGTAGGGCTTTCGGCCCCTCCTAAGCAGTGTTCTTTTTATACAAAGTCAGCTTATTGCCCCAACAATCCGGGTCCTCATTTTACCTATTTCGGAAGGATAGAAGGCTGAGTCAACCTTGACCCTGGTGAGATTTGAACTCACAGTAATTGCAGGCAGCTGGCAGCTAAGTGCTACTTAACAGCACTTTAGTCCGCTGCACCACCAAGGCTCTTGGAGTTTTTTTTTTTTTTGTTTTTTTTTTAATTTGATTTATATGCCGCCCTGAGTCTCCGGAGAAGGGCGGCATACAATGCATTAAGCAATAGCCTTCATCCTTTTGTATATTTATACAAAGTCAGCTTATTGCCCCCACAAACTGGGTCCTCATTTAACCTACCTTAGAAAGGATGGAAGGCTGAGTCAACCTTGAGCCTTGGAGAGATTCGAACCAGCAGTAAATTGCAGGCAGCTGTGTTAATAACAGGGTGCTTTAAACCACTGTAGTACCAAGGCTCTTGGAGTTGAAGTCCACAAGTCTCAAAAGTGGCCAAGTTTGGAGACCCCTGGCTTAGAGTGCCAATTGGCACAACTTGCTGCTAGAAAGCATATGTGGCAGACACTGGAGAAGCAATACCTCTCTATCACGTCCCTATCAGAGGATAGCTGCTTCTGTATTTCTTCTTTTATTTTTCCATCCTCTGGCAGCAAGGCCACAGATTCATTTCAGTCCTTACACTTTTAGCTAGTCCTCACCACAATTGGGATCAGAAATTTTGTTGCTTTAGCAAGGAGGTTGTTAAGTCAGCCACACCCAATTTTATGACCTTTTTGTCATGGTTGTTAAGCGAATCACTGCAGCTATTCAGTGAATTATCTGGTTGTTAAGTAAATCAGGCTTTACTCACTGAATTTGATTATCGGAAACTGGGTGGGGCACTTCAACCAGTGGTGGGCTGCCCCCGGTTCAGACTGGTTTGCAAGACTGCTCCGCCCAGACTGCTCCGCCCACCACCACGGATGTCATCATCGGTGAATTGCACATGCGCAGAGGCTTCTGAGCATGTGCAGAAGCAAGGCGTGCGCACGAGCGAAGCGATCGCACATGCATGATCCCGTTGCAAACCGGTAGTAAAGGTAAGTAGAACCCACCCCTGACTTCAACCATCATAAATACATGCTGATTGACAAGCATCCAAATTTTGATCACATGACTGCGGGATGCTGTAATGGTTGTAAGTGCAACAATCGGTTGTATGTCACTTTTTTTTTAGTGATGTTGTGAGTTTGAATGGTTGCTAAAGAAATGGTTGTAAGTAGAGGACTACCTGTATATTAGATGCAAATTTCAATATAGATTTAGATATACTGGATTGTGCACTCCGATGCGTCCAACGGGAAGCACACCAAACTCAAGTTCTAATCTGTACAGGTGGTCCTCATTTAGCAACCACAACTTGTCAAAAAAAGTGGGTGCGAAATGAAACCGCGATTGTGCTTACGATCTAATTTCAGCTTTCCTTTGTTTTACAGACCTAACAAGGTTGCAAATGAGAGAATTGGTCACAAAGTTATTTTTTCATCACTGTTATAACTGTGAATCAGGTTTAAGGTTTATTTGGATTTATATACTGCCCTTCTCCCGAAGGATTCAGGGGTTTAGGCGAACCGGCCCAAACCGGTAGTAAAAAATGTAAAAAAAAAGTTCTGATGATCACTCAGCTGAATGATGTGCGATCGTCGGAACTTTTTTTTTTAGCATTTTTTTACTACTGGTTCTCTGGAACCAGTAGTTAAAAATGCTTTAAAAAGTAAAAAAAAAAAAAAAAAGTTCCGATGATTGTGCATTGCTCAGATGATCATCGGAACTTTTTAAATATTTTTTAGGCATTTTTTTACTACCAGTTTGGGCAAATAGGTAGTAAAAAATGCTTTTA